GTAAAGCAGTTTCTCAACCATGACTACTTCATCCGCATATTGATTCATGGGGAGGATCAGAAAAAAGCTCTTACTAGAGGACCCGGATTGGCTAAACGAAGAACGGGTCACGAATCTTCCAAAAATCGATCGATTAACAGCTTTTGGGATGGATTTTTAATTAAAGGTTTTATAAGCCTAATTAAACTAATTTTGATCCCGATTCTCAATTTTCCCGGTTGAACGGTCTGGCCAATCCAATTTTAAATCATTGGTTTTCTAATTCGATCACTTGGATAATTGGATTGACAAAAATTGATTACGTAGAAGTTAACTTGATTGAAATTCACTTAATGTATAATTACTCAATAAAATCAATTTAAAGTGTGGATTGTTATATTGAATCATATTGAAGTATAGTTATCCTATTGAACAAATTTAAAGTTCATTTACCTAATTAAATTAAAATACAAATGAAATTTACCTCAAATTTAAGATATTTTATTCCCTAACTTATCCTGTTTGCACCCTTGGAGGAAGGTTCCCGTTAACAATACGTATGCCCAAAGGTCTTTCCTGCGGCACATAAGGTAAGACTAGTATAGGTACTGCATGGAATTGGGCAAATGAAGTTCAATAAAATAACCGTACAAAAGAGCATCGTTATACTGATAAGCCTTCCATATACTAAAAGAGACACCTGCTTGTCTATTCTTGGCTGCTCTACACTTGTGGCAAAGTTGGTAAGGATACTGGAAGTATCAAGGAAAAAGAAGTTCAAATCTCGTACATTATACTTCCACTCCAATTTAGAACTCACTAAACATGCGCTCAAGGTACTGCACAGGAAACCAGTAGCAGACAAAAACGCACATTCAATGTCAAAAAGGCATACTTCTGGTTTCCAATGCAAAGCCTACTCTTCGTCAAACCTAATCTTCTTTGAGGTGGGCTGGTTTCCAATCTGCAAAAGGTGTAAAACTGAACTGTAAGACAGAATAAAGATCCTTTATCTATTTTGTTGATCCCCGATTAATTTTTTCTTGACGTCAAATCAATATGATCGACATCCACAGAATATGACATCCCAATGATAAAATGTGACTAGATCAGATGTTCTAAGAAACTGGAACGCCACAACATAAGAACTTGTGCATCTAAACAGGCCTTCAAAAAAATCAAAGAACCCTTTTTTCCAGGGAGCAGGATTCATCCATGCAACCAAGAGCAGGCAGGGATGTACCTTCCCTCAACGAATAGTCACTTTATATTGGTCATGATATCTTGTTATTCAAATAAAAATTAAAGTCTCCATACAAGAAAATTTCTGGAATGATATCAGTATCACCAAGCAATGTAAGGAATGAGAATATGCTTACAATTTCTGGACAATCATAATCAATACCAGAGGCCTCAATCCTCTTTCGCCTTCTCTTATCCGTTTTCATAATTCTTTCTACCAACTTCTTGTGCTCTTCCAAAGTCCTTTCCTGGATATTATGTATTATCCATTCAATGAGATCATATTACGAGCTTGTTTGAGTCCCATTTTTTGGAAGAATAGATTTTATAATGGTGATTTTTAGTTGAAAAGCAGGAAAAAGTTTTGGATTTACGTAAAAAATTATTTTATTG